AGCTCTGCTGGTATTATATTGTTGCTTTGCGAGTTTATTAAAAATTGTAAAATACTGAGAATTGCTGTTCAACTACGACCTCACCAATTTGATTTCCCGCTCAAAAGGCGTGTTGCAAATTATTTGCTTACGCGGCCTTACATCTATGAGCCCACGTAACGCTCTCATGTAATGCCCAACCGCGTGCCCGCCGTACACTACACTAAAGCTCGGCACTCCAAATTTCTTCGGCTAAATGGGTTACTACTATTTTGCACAATTATGAGGCTACGCTGCGCGCACTGCGAGCTCCGCTATTATCTGATGAGTCCAGTTGTTATTATCTTTTCGTTTATTGACTCAATAAACAGAGGCCGGGGTTTATTTCGACCTGAAGTGAAATCCAAAGGGAGATAAGTTTATGTAATTAACCCCTTACTAAATAACCGAAGATCTAAGTGAACTTCTTTGGGGGCTTCTGTTAAATTTAAGATAAAGGACGTAGTTGGTTTTTATAAAGTTGTTTGTTATTTTATCTTTTAATGATTTGTTTACGGTTTTGTTTTGATAAGTGCTCAATTTTGCCTTGGTTTCTTTTGTGTTGGTTTGTATGTCTGTTTGTTGGTTTGTTTTTTTTTTTTAGGATGGGAAATGGGGCACGCCTGGAGAAACAGGAACAAGAATGAGAACTGAGCTCCAGAAGTTAAAGTTTACTCGAACGAACGTTATAGTCAAGGCGATTTACAAGACCTTAATTTGACATAACTTTGAAACACAATTTAGAAAAAATCTATGAAACTCATTTCAAAAAAATACCACGAAAGATTATTTCATGTCTATCTTATCCATTGAGCTTACTTTGGACAACCGAGTTTCAAAGAAATTAGTGGGAAGACTTAAGAAATCCCCTATTGGTTCACCAGAGTCAAACGCGCGAAAACCGACCAACTTCTAACTGAATCGATGAAGGGTCACTTGACGAGCTCACGGACGGAAGCGCGTGGAAAACTAGAAACCTCCAAAGCAAGTCCTAACACAGGAAGATTAGCCCAACACACAGCCTGGAACTTTGGAAATGCAGACACTTAAGGCACCGGGGTATTGTGCCATTTCTTTTTCAATTGTATGGCATTTCACACAACCTCAGTGGCTAATGGTGAGTAAAAATTGTTTCTGATCTTGATTTCTTTTATTCGAAGAACGAAGGGAAGGTTAGTAAAAAATGTGTTGAGTTGCTTATGCTCCGTACAACGTATTACCGGCTTAGGGAACTTATTCTCTTTTGTCTTGCGTACGGTGTATAGGAGAAAGAAAACAATTAATGATAATGTTTATCATGTAACAACCTGAGCGGAAGTCATACAAACGACTCACAACATTAACATTACAAACGAACTGATCAAAACGACCTAACTTTACTAAAGGATCAAGACCGACCAATCACGACCGACCTACGCCACTTGAGTATTACAGCCAATAAAATCACGGAAAAATTGACCAGTCAGTTTATACAAACCGGACTTAGAACATTCGACTGACAACAACTATTCACTAGACTCTGATGATGACTTCCGCTCAGGTTGTCGAGACGTCAGTCACCACTACCGA